AAATTGTTCTTGTTGGTGGCTCTACTCGAATTCCAAAAATTCAACAACTGGTAAAAGAGTTCTTTAATGGCAAGGAGCCGTCCCGAGGCATAAATCCAGATGAAGCTGTGGCATATGGTGCTGCTGTCCAAGCTGGTGTACTTTCGGGTGATCAAGATACAGGTAGGTCATTGTCAGAGTATCTTCCATAATGCCTCAGTTGCTTGATGGGATGACTTTATTTAATTAGCTGTTGGATCTAGGGAACAATAGAATATGAGCAACAAGGTAACACAGCTAATAGAGGTTTTATGAAGATAAGACCTGGGGCAGTCTTAAGATCCTTAATAAGTTCATTCCCTTTAAATTATTTGTGTTTGGAAACTAAGCAAATGTCAAAGTGGAAATGTAAACTTATTATCTGAGGAGATTGCTTGGTAGTGATCTTAACTTGATTAATTTGCTTTTGCAGGTGATCTGGTACTGCTTGATGTATGTCCTCTTACACTTGGAATTGAAACTGTGGGAGGTGTCATGACCAAACTGATTCCAAGGAACACGGTGGTACCCACCAAGAAGTCTCAGATCTTTTCAACAGCTTCTGATAATCAGCCAACTGTCACAATCAAGGTCTATGAAGGTAATTACACTTGTTAATACCAAAGTATGTTTTAAAAGAACATGACTTCTGACTTACAGTATAGTATGTATATAGTATCGCTAGGGAAAGTACTCACTTCACTTTTTAAAATGGAGGGAGGGAGTGGTCCTTAACTTGATGAGTGTTAATTTATTTTTCTGTTTTGCTATTTCTGGGGATTGAACTCAGGAGGCCTGGGCACTGTCCCTGAGCTTCTTTTGTTCGAGGCTAGCACTCTCCCATGTGAGCCGTATCACCACTTCTGGCTTTTTCTGTTTTATGTGGTACTGAGGAATTGAACCCAGGGCTTCTTGCATGATAGGCAAGCACTCTACTTACCACTAAGCCACATTTCCAGCCCTAGTGTTGAATTTTAGAATCAGTATTTGTATAGCTGTTTAGTACTCTTTCCCATTGGCTTTGAAAATGTAAAAAAGGGGCCAGGCGCCAGTGGCTCACACCTGTAATCCCTACTCAGGAGGCTGAGATCTGAGGATCGCGGTTCAAAGCCAGCCCGGGCAGGAGAGACCGTGAGACTCCTATCTCCAATAAACCACCAGAA